GGACGGCAGCGCGCTTGAATTTTGAATTCCGTGGTGCGAGGTCGGCAGGCGGGCGGGCAGGATGAGGTCGCGTGATGCGGCGCGTTGGCCGTGCGCCGGCGGCCCCGGTGCCTATATTATGCGTCGCGCCGTGACATGGTGTGCCACTCGCGTGGTAGCGCGGCGGCCAGCGGGGACGCCACGGATGCGTTTTGGAAGAGATGAGAACAAACGCGTCGCCACGTTTCTCTGTTCGCGGAGCAGTGTCACTAGCATCTACCGTCTGCCAAGTATAAGTCGACCGAGACTTGTTAGAGCAACTCCAATGGATCGACCCAAACGGACGGCGCATTTGTCCGCTTTTTGTTTGTTTGGATCAGCTGCCGCTCGGCGTCCGCCCAATTTTGTATTTGGATCGGCAGTGCACCCAACGCGCCGACCCATTTCATGTCAGCGCTCAACTTAAAAAAAAGACCCGCGGCTAATCATGTCACTTGATGACATAAAAGAGGACGGCTTGCTAGCATACCAGCATGCCGATGCCGCTCACAGGGCGGGCCTTGATGCTCTCAAGAGTGGCATAAAACTTGTTGCACTCTTGTTGGATCACCCCCCATCGCTTGGAAATGGACACCCACCCGCGCGTGCTCACAATTTGGTAAGGCGAAAACTTCTTGCGCTCATGAAACTCCCGGTGAACACGAATCCAAAAAGTTGAATGCTTTTGTTCGGCGCCGGTTTTGGGGTCTTGTCCAATGTCTCGACAACACTCGCAAAGAAGCTTGTCTTCGGTCGCCGTGTATGCCTTCATGCGCTTGCTCTTGCGCTTCGGCTTAGGACCGGCGGTTTGGTTGGCGAGCTCGTCCTCGAACAAGGGCTCCACTTCGATGTCGCACTCGTCCTCTTCCTCTACCCGTAGTCGTCCGGGAACTCGTGGTCGAGTGAGAAGCCGTCCATGTCGATGCCGACCTGATCACGCATGAAGGCAGCCTGATCGGGATTATAGCCAGCGGCCGGTGTGAATGGCCCGCGGCCGTCCTGGCTTTGTGTCTCGCCGGGATCGTAGCCAGCGGCTGGCGCACCGCCCTCCAAGATGAGGTTTTGCATGTAGTCCTCGTCGACGGCACACAACATTCCGTCAAACAGGTTGCGGGCCTCCGGGAGCACGCCGGACGGCGTCTGCCGCACCCGTTTCCTCACGCCATCGATGACGAGCCACCGGGGTGGCGTTGAGGTCGATGGGCGCAGGCGCGGGCGTGGAAGGCGCGACCACACTCACGTCGGGCGAGCACTCCCCGGAGAGGCGGGATGCCTGCGGGTACACGTGGAAGCCAGCCACCGGGTTGCAAGCTGACGCACGGGGCAAGTCGGGTAGCACCATCCGAGGAAACGCCGATGAGCCGGTGCTGGCCGCGGTGTTGAGGAGGCCGTGTTGGCCAGGGTTTAACCCTAGCATGTAGAGCGCCTCCCTCGTTGCCGTCGCGACGCGGGTGTTGGTGACCTCCCGTTGCGCCGCGGCGGCGACGGTGGCCTCATCCCTCGTGTCCGCGGCGTGCCTCTGGTCCTTCCTCTTGGTCGACTCCTTTGCCCGATGTGCGGGCGTCAGCGGTTTCTTTGGCTTGACCGCGGCAGCGGTCTTGCGCAGGGCACGAGGCTTGCCTTTCCCGGCATGGGCGGGGGCACCGGACGAGGCGTGGGAGGCGAGGCCACCGGCGGCGTCGAGGTCGATGGCGTCCTCCATGGCGGGGTGTGGGGCGCGAGCACACGGACGGGAGGATTTTTGGGAAAATAAGGGGAAATGGTGGTGGCTGCCATCGACCGGCGGGCCTGGAAAAAGGAGTAGGCGCGCACGTCCGTCTCTTGTCTGCGCCGACGTAAATCCGGCTCAAAAATGAGCCGGGAATGGGTCGGCAGGCGGACGTCTAGCGGACGCGCGTCTGTTTGGGTCGACATGTTGGGCCGACTTTTTTATCCCCACCGATTCAAACAGACGCCAGCGAACAAAATAGGTTGCCCCATTAAAGTTGCTCTTATGTCCCAATCGGTGCTATATTTATGAGATCACACATTGTGTTTGTTTTTTTAGAATTTTCTTCTTCTTTCTTATTATGTTATATGTCATTTGATTGAGACTTGTTAAATCTTAATCGACTGAAATCCAATCACATCGATCTACAATCATAAAGCACGAATTTGGCCTCTCAAACATTCACGGACGAGTATGGCAAGTTTGTTTTGATCCTTGTTTGCTCATGCACATAGTCGTGTTCTCTATATTTTTATGTCCAATCATATGCATATGATTGATGGTGATAAAAATATATAAAAAAGATGGCTTAGGGTGGGTCTAATTTACGTGGCGCACTACCCGGACAGACGTGTGTGCTTGCAATGGCACGCTCGCCCGGCTTTGGACCGTGATTTCCGAAAAAGGGTTTCCCGCTTTGTATTAGAAAGCCACCAACCGATACAGTTGATGATAGGTGCTGGGACGGAAGCAGCACAATCACACTTAAAAAAAATAACAAGAGAAAAATGCTGACAACAGCGGATCGACGGAAACGAAGAAGCTTCACTACCACTGCGCCCACTGAAGATCTCCCACCAAGCTCCAAGGCTCCTAAGCACCGATACCAATCAACACCTTCAAGAAGGACCGCGACGATGACGACACTATTGCCAAGGGTTCCCTTGGTACGCGGCAAGGCGAGAGGAAGGGCCGCCCCCTGACGCCCTCCAGGAAGGTCCGGCGGCACCCACCGGCGTTGCCGCGTCAGTGTCGGACATGTCGACAGGGGTTTCCCCCGATCCCAACCTTCACCTCGGATGCTCCAGAGCCTGCCACCAAACCGACCACCATCTTGCGCCATCATGGTCATGAAGCCTCCACGTCGTCTCACCACGGCACCACGAAGTGAGGCCTGCACAACGGGGAATAGGAGCCGGGACTAGGGACCGCAGCATCGTCGGCACGCAGGAGGGCATGACTGAAGGAAATATGCCCTAGAGGCAATAATAAAGTTGCTATTTGATACGTCTCCATCGTATCTACTTTTCTAAAAACTTTTGCCCTTATTTTGGACTTTAACTTGCATGATTTGCATGGAACTAACCCGGATTGATGCTGTTTTTAGCAGAATTGCCATGATGTTATTTTTGTGCAGAAATAAAAGTTCTCGGAATGACCTGAAAATCAACGGAGAATTATTTTGGAATATATAAAAAATACTAGAAGAAAGATCCACGTCAGGGGGGTATGCTGTCCACGAGGGTGGGGGCGCGACCCCCTGCCTCGTGGGCCCCCTGATGCTCCACCGAACTCAACCTTGACTCCATATATTCACTTTCGGGGAGAAAAACAGAGAGAAGGATTCATCGCGTTTTACGATACGGAGCCGCCGTCAAGCCCTAAACTCTCTCGGGAGAGCTGATCTAGAGTCCGTTCGGGGCTCCGGAGAGGGGAATTCGTCATCATCAACCTCCCTCCATCATCAATTTCATGATACTCACCGCCGTGCGTGAGTAATTCCATCGTAGGCTTGCTGGATGGTGATGGGTTGGATGAGATTTATCATGTAATCGAGTTAGTTTTGTTAGGGTTTGACCCCTAGTATCCACTATGTTCTGAGATTGATATTGCTATGACTTTGTTATGCATAATACTTGTCACTAGGGCCCGAGTGCCATGATTTCAGATCTGAACCTATTATGTTTTCATCAATATATGAGAGTTCTTGATCCTATCTTGCAAGTCTATAGTCACCTATTATGTGTTATGATCCGTTAACCCCGTAGTGACAATAATCGGGATACTTACCGGTGATGACCGTAGTTTGAGGAGTTCATGTATTCACTGTGTGTTAATGCTTTGGTCCAGTACTCTATTAAAAGGAGGCCTTAATATCCCTTAGTTTCCAATAGGACCCCGCTGCCACGGGAGGGTAGGACAAAAGATGTCATGCAAGTTCTTTTCCATAAACACGTATGACTATATTCGGAATACATGCCTACATTACATTGATGAGCTGGAGCTAGTTCTGTGTCACCCTAGGTTATGACTGTTACATGATCGATCGCATTCGTCATAATTCTCCATCACCGATCCAATGCCTACGAGCTTTTCATATATTGTTCTTCGCTTATTTACTTTTCCATTGCTACTGTTACAATCACTATAAAACCCAAAAATATTACTTTTGCTACCGTTACCACTACTATCATATTACTTTGCTACTAAATACCTTGTTGTGGATATTAAGTTTCCAGGTGTGGTTGAATTGACAACTCAGCTGCTAATACTTGAGAATATTCTTTGGCTCCCCTTGTGTCGAATCAATAAATTTGGGTTGAATACTCTACCCTCGAAAACTGTTGCGATCCCCTATACTTGTGGGTTATCAAGAA